ATATTGCTTTATGACAATATCTACTTTTATGACCCCCCCCCCCCATCCCTTTTCTTTGATGGTAGTTTTCCTCTAAACTTCTCACGAAACCGTTCGTCAGTCTCGAGTCGTCTTGTGTTCCCGTAAGGAACACCTCCTGTTCCTCTCGTAGCATATATTTAAATATATATACATATATTCGAATAAACTCGTCTCTCTATAAAAAGTGTCTCTCCCCTATTCACGAAGAAATTATTATAATCATTTCGAACGTGTAACGTCGGAACGTAACAGCGCGCGCACGCATCTGCGAAGCGCGAGCGATATTCCCGCCGCGTCATCAGGCGGAAATCCAGGATGCGTAAGTGCGCAGACGCAAGTGTAATTTCGTAATTAGCTAATTCAACGGCCGTTCGTTAACTGGAGAAGGTGGGGTCTTTAATTAAAAGCCTCGGAAACCTCTTGGACCGCGTGGAATTCCGCCCGAGGAGGAGCGAAGCGCGATGGCCGCGCGAACCGCTCGGCGTGCTGCTTCTCAGCCGACGCAAAGTAAATTTTTCACTCCCGATCGGATGTTTTCGTTCGAAATTCAAGAGGCGACTTCGTGATGCACTCCGGCGTCTCGCGGCGGTAAATTCATTTCGTTTCCGATTGGAGCGCGTTTGCTCGCGTTTGCACACGATGAGTCCGGGGTTAAACGCCGGGTGTTTCGCTGTCGCTTCGCGCGAATTTTCAGCAATTCGAGAGATTTCATGCGCGGTGAGAAATCGACGGAATGATCGACCGCGATTTGCTGTTCATTCGTCCACGGGAGGGCAGCCCCTCCGCGACATAATTTCACGATCGATTTCGCGGGCGGTCAGCCTCGAATCCGCGCGGATTGCACGACGAGAGATCGGCGACGCTCGCGCGCTCCGATGGCTTCTCCGCGTTATCGTTATCGGCTGGCCGCGACCAGTCCGGCCAGCTGCGGCAATTCATTTTCTCGACACACTTCGTCGACATGTGTGTATCCGCATATGCGCGCGCGCTTGTGTGTGTACGCGCAGCGCAGCACCCGCGACGAGTCGCGTTTCCACGATAAGAAACGCGCGCGCAGAAATTATTAACGCGCGAGGCGATGCAACTCCGAAGTTCGTCGCGTGGCCGGGGGAAAGTTCAGCAACTTCCGCCGTGTGGGTGCATTATTCAAGCCGACAGCCTTCGAAAACAATCGCAATCGATGGCGGTTAACAATGAATGGTGGCAAAAGCCGGCGGCGACGTCGCGGCTCTCTTCCCCCCCCCCCCTCCTCATGACTATAGGACGTGTCCCCGAATCCCCCCCTCCTCCTCCCCACACACACACACACACACATACACACACGCGGAGGATTTATATTGCTATTATCGCGTGAAAGAGATTGCCGCGTGCGGGCGGCGATCGCGTGCACGTGCGTGACCAACTTTGCGCTCGTAATTAACGCGGCTGTTGGCGAGCTTTCCGGAGCTTTCGTGGTGGAAAAATCGGTAAATCGCGGCGCGCCGGGCTTGCTGCTCGCTCGGGGAAACCGCGCGTTGTTCTTGATCCAACGAGAGATCCGATCGACGCTGCGAAGTCGCGCGGCGATTTCGCGCGTCGTTATCCCGCCTCTTCGCGAACAATCGATCGACAATGGATCGGTCATGCATACTCGATCGGGAAATGCGTAGAACCCGTTGAGACAACTTTTGCCGGCTGGAGCGCGCATGCATGATGAATGAAGGAATTTTACATAATTCCCGCCCTTCCCCCTCTTGCTCTAGAGAGTCAGTCGAAGAGCTGTCTAGGATTTAACGAACGACTTCGCAGAGGAGTAAATTACTTGTGGAAATGTCACGGGCGACCCTAGATAGCGCGCTCTCGTCTCGGGGCGATATCGGCAGTGTGTGCACTTGCGGATGCAGCTGGAACAGGATGCATCGACGCGATGCACATGCACTTGCGCCGGGAGTATGCGAGAGAGAGAGAGGGGGAGGAGGAGGGAGAGAAGCGCGGGGTCTTTGGCCGCCTAATGGCGGATGTGCTGTACCGCGTCTTTGACGTGGCTTTCCCCCAATTCGCGTCAATTGACGACGGCGACGGCGATGATGTCGACGACGACGACGACGACGACGAATGACGGGATGGGGGGGAGGTAAAGGCGACGGGCGTAATTAAAATTAGCGCCGCCGCATCCCCGCGCGCGGACACACGAGACTCGCGCACGCATTCATTACGCAACGTAATGCATCCGTACGCAACGCGATATCGAACCTTGGCGTTGTGTGTATGTGTGCGTAGAAATTTTTTCTTAGATAAGGACACAAAGCCTCGACGTCGCTGTGTGATGCCGCTCCGTCGATCGGAGCTCGCTCCGCGTCTCTCTTCCTCTCCTCTTCTTCGTCTCGATGTTTCATTTCGCGTCGTTTCGCCCGTCGGCGTCTCTTTTGTCGTCGATTCGTTAGTCGGATTAGTGTGATGCGGCCTTCGACTTCGGATAAGGTCTCCGAGATAAACTCGCCAGCGAGATTCCGACGTGGAACATCTCGCGGTTTGTGGGATTCGAATGTTTTCGACGGTAACGGGCGTCCCTTTCTATCAAAAATTTAGCCCGCGAGATCGATCCGAGACCGTCTTCGCATCTCTCTCTCTCTCTCTCTCTCTCTCTCTCTCTCTCTCTCTCTCTCTCTCTCTCTCTCTCTCTCTCTCTCTCGCCGCATGCTCTTCCTATCCGCATTACGTAAACGCCCGCCACATTTCCGCATACGCGAATCGCTCGTATCCCGCCTTCAACCTTGGCCTCTCGTACTTTTGAAACCGCCACCACTTCCATTAACATCTCTTCGCGCGGACCCAGGGGATCGATTAAAGGAAGAAGAAGAAGAAGAAGAAGAAACCTTCCCTCGATTTTCGCCCTCATCTTTCGACACTCGGTCGCGCGCAAGTTCGACTAAAGAGAAAATTCAACGCAGCAGTTTGCTCATTTGTTCGCGTCGACTCAACTTCCCTCCCCGCGCTGTCACTTCGACGAGACGTCGATACGTCTGCCATGAAGACAGGGAAAGGCTTCGCCTTGGGGAAATATTTATCAAACACAGAGGGTCCCTCTGTACCGCGGGGAGAGAGGGGGGATCGAGCGATGCCACGACGTGATGCCTTGAAAAATATTTTCCTTGGAAACCGGCAAGCGCGCGCGCACGCACGCACGCATGAACGCACATGTGCGCGACGAACAGCGGTCCCTCGTTCGATGACGAAGAGGACGGAACGTGGAAGCCATCCGTTGTTGCTCCCCGACGTCCCGTTAGGCCTGCTGCGCGCGTGAAAATCGCACGCACGCACGCACGCACGCACGTCTCGCGCGCATCCGTTACGCGTTACGCCCTCCCGCGCGATTAGCATCGGCTAGAAGAAGTCGCCGGCACGCGGTGAGAAATATGATGAATCGGGCCGGCTTCCGAACGGCGTCCGTCGGAATATTAATCAACACGTCGACGTTGCGTAAGCGCGTCGGATTCTCGCGAGCGCTTCCTTTTCCTTCGACCAGTAAGTTAAAGTAGACCGACCGAGAGAGGGTGGCGGCCGGTAACGCGTCGATGACGAGAGTGGAGCTGTCCGGCGATAAAAAAAAAGAAAAGAGAAACGATGACCTGAAGGTAGGGGCGAGAGGCGGCGAATAAAATGTGCAGTGTCGTTCCCAGATTGGCGAGCGCCACGTCGACGACGTCGCGTCTCCTCGGAGCAGACGCATCCCCGATTGTAGATCCGCTAGGATCGACCCACGGCTCTCTTTCTCTCTCTCTCTCTCTCCCTCTCTCTCTCTCTCTCTTTCTCACGCTCACACAAGATGACGGCGGTTCTCGAGCTCGTTCGTAGTGCGGCGTGTCGAATTTTCATCGAGTCCGCGTCGTCGAGAAGCTGCGACGAAGACCTCGTGTCGACCTTGACGCAGGTTTGTCCCTGAAACTTTCGCAAGAGCAGGATCGATCTCTCTCTCTCTCTCTCTCTCTCTCTCTCTCTCTCTCTCTCTCTCTCTCTCTCTCTCTCTCTTCCTTTCACAATCTCACCCTTCCCCCTGCTTTCCTCCTCTTTCTCTCAATTCTTCTCAAGTTTCTTTTTTCTTTTTTTTTCTTCATTATTTCACCCTCTCAGAGGGCAAGTCTCTCCTCCTTATATTTGGCACTGAGAATGCGATCGTCTATCCGTCCCTTCGACGAAGGGAAAGGGACGCGCGCGCGCGATAACAAAATTTATTATTATTTTATTTACTTATCTTCTTCCTTTCGTCCGCCTCTCTTGCTCTATTAATCTTTGTCTCTCTCTCTCTCTCTCTCTCTCTCTCTCGCTCTCTCTCTCTCTCTCTCTCTCTCTCTCTCTCTCTCGCACCGCTTCGCACGCCACAACTACCGTTCGTTCATCTGTCAGCTGCACGCCACCGGACAAGGTCCCGGGTGCTACCCGAAAGCGTCGCGCTCACCCCCCCCCCGCGCGTCGGACGGGATCTTTCACGGCTGAGGGCTGGGGAACGTCGACGGTGACACTCCGCCGGAGATTAGACGTAGTCGTGTGTGTGTGTAATTTAGACACGAGTGTCGACGATCAGTCGGACGCGATTAGATTTTTAGCCAGCAATCTCTCTCTCTCTCTCTCTCTTTCTCTCTCTTTCTTTCTCTTTCTCGCGCGCAAGTTCCGAGACGAAGACTTGAAGACACGGTCGCCATTCGGCCGTTTGCCCGAAGACTCGGTTTCCCTCGACTCCGGCTCCATCCGATGTCGCTGTGAATTTGGTCTCGTTCGACGGACAACGAGAGACAAATTTGCTCAGACTCGGCAGAAATCGTGATGGACGTGATGACCGGCTCAGGATGTCAAGTCGCCTACGAGCTTTGTTTCGGAACTCGCGCGCGCGAGCATGTTTCTCTCGATTTGCCGCGGTGAGAGAGCGCGGTGTTCTCACCGATTAATCCCACGCAATCCGCTGCGAACGCTGAAGGACGCGAAAAACTTGCTTGTGGTTGCAGCCGCCGGAGAATGAGCTGCAGAAGGTGGGCGAGCGCGTGCCAAGCGAGCACGAACTCCGCGTGCAGCGGTCGCTGCAGCGGCTGAACGTGCCTGACTGGTACAAGAATTCGCCGGCAGCCCGCGACGGCTTCCGACTGAAGAGACACTCGGACGCGTCGCAGCACGGAGGGTGGCGCGCCCTCGGCTCCAAGACCACCTCCCTGTCGTCCCTCTCGTCGTCTTCCAACCGACAGCCGACCACAGGTAAGACGAGAAGAGAACTCACCTTCGACTGAGGCGGGACTCGCTCCCAGGGAGACTGGGTGTCGCGCCGGAGAAGAAGGACAGTTCGCGGTCCTGGACTAAGAAATCGCGCGAAATCGCGACGATTATTCGTGAATGCAAAAACACGAAAAAAACCAACGAGAAGATGTGTATGCTGTTTCATGTCGATGGCTGCTTCAGGTGGCTCGATGAACCCGCGGGGATTCTTGCGGAGGCTTCAAAGCCGATATCTGCGCACTTTGGACGCAACTTGCTTCAATAATCTGTCGACGGTGTGAAAAACGAAAAAAAAAGTCAGGGCGGCGTTATTGGCTTGAACTTTCGCGCAAAAATCCCCACGGACTTGCCGAACAAGCCGATATTAAGCCTCGCGCGTGGCCTGGCGCGGCTTTTTCGAGCGATTTTCACAACTCGAAGTCTCTTCCGTGTCTACGGCAAAGCGTATATCGGTAGAAAGCACGAGGCACAGTAATTTCCTGGATTGTGTTGACGACAACTTTCAAGGTAACTTTGTTTCCATCGCCTCTACGCTGCTTTCCCACTGGGACAATCAGGAGAGATCCAGCCGCGCCGCTGGAGGTGGCCGCGAATCCACGTGAAATTCACTAGGATTCCTCCTCCCCGCCACGACGCAGGATCGTACTAATTGCCGCTTCCGCTGCCGCAGGTGCCCTTCTGAGTCCCAGTCCCACGCCTCCCGTGTTCTCGAGATGGAGTACCAGCTTGCTCAACAGCGCCGGCAGTTCGCCAGCGAGTTCGGCCAGGTCGTCCTTCAACCACCGACAGCCCTACTTGGGCTGGCGTTCTCAGGAACGACTGACCAACCCGCGCACGCCGGCGGAACGTCTCGCTCAGGGTATACTTCCTCAGCTGCAGGCCGCAAACAAGGTAACTCCCCCCCCCCCCCGCCTCCCTCTTGACCCGCCCGAATTGTCCTCCGGTGATTTGTCCTATCGACCAGTCGCTGTCGCGACACGCCGACTCGCCGCGCAATCATTTCGCGGCTAATCGCGCCACGAAGATGAGGCGGCGGAGGCGGGAGAGGCTGAATCAACTCGGCACTCGGCGCGACCATCGATCGCGGCCCCGGCCGTGAAACAGGGCCGCCGCCGCGCGATTGTCTGGCCGGAGAATCCCGAGACCGGTAAATGCAAAATCCAGCGTCGAGATGATTGACGTCAGCGCGCTCGACGTCCGCTTTCTCCCGCGCCCCGGCGCTTTTAGAATTCCGACTCGTTCGCCAATCGATATCCACAGGGGGGGAGGGGGACATACACGCGCTAATCCCCGCGGATGTGCACGCAGACGAAGAAGCGGAGCCGATTGAGCGCGACGATGAACGAGCCAGCTGCAATTTTCCCTCGGAGGAATTTCCACGCCAAGTCGCGTCTGTGGGGTGGAAATTCGCCCCATCATCTCCTCATCGTCGCGCGGCGATTCGGCCAATTCTCCTCCCCCTCCCTCCTCCTCCGGCTCCATGCGCTCGCCAAGCTCGACTTGACGCGCGGACTTTTGCGAGGACTCGTCCTCGCAACTCGAATCAAACCGCGAGCCCTCCACACTCCCCACCCTCCGCTCCTTTTCGCGTCGCCGGGACGCGAGTTTTGCGTCTTGCTCTTTGTGCGATTTATTTTTAATTTTCCGCGGACGAAAGCGCGCAAGCGCGACGCCGCCGCTCGCTAAAGTTAGAATTCTCGGCAGCGAAAGCTCGTCGTGTCGTCGTGTCGTCTCGCATCTTCCGCGGCTTCTCCTCCGCGGACATGTACAAACGTCTATCCATCTGTTCATCCGTCCGTCCGTCCGTCCGTCTGTCTGTCTGTCTGTCTGTCTGTCCGTCTGTCTGTCCGTTTGTCCGTTTGCCGAGCATTCTCTCTCGCAACGATTCCTCCCGCGATCGTCTCGATGACCTCCTCCTCGTCCTCCTCCTCGGAGGGCGTATCCGTATCCGTTTATTCTCGACCGGGAGTACTTGGAGCGTCTGTGAACTTTTCGGGCTTTATGCTTCTTTCGCAGCAACAGCAGCAGCAGCAACATCAGCAGCAGCAGACAACGAATCAGCAGCTGGAGGTGCGGAACTCGATAAAGGAGGTGACCTCGGCCATCGTGCACTACGTGCAGAGCGGCCAAGAGGTCGGCGGCGGCGGCGGCGGCAGACTCTCGCCTCGACCTCGACCTGAAGATTGGGACGACAGGGGCGGAGCGAGGTCGACCAGCCCCCGAGGTGAGCACTAAACA